GACAGGCGAGAGAGCGAAAAAACGCGGAGCAAGGGCTCAGGAATAAGACTCTTTAGGGCAGCCGATCAACACGACCGGCAGACGAACCCTAGGTACGGGCGGCGCGGCCCCCAGCTGCTGTCATGGAGGTCTGACCGCCCCGGGGCAGTGCGCGGGTGCGGAAGTGGCGGGCAACGGCTAGGATTGGATCGGTTAGGGTAATACCATGTTAGAAGGGAGAGAGGAATTTGGTGGAATTGTTCGTTGTATTGGTTGAGCAAAACAAGTTAGAACAAATTCTAATCTATCTCGTCTTTTCTAATAATCTATATACTCAACAACATGAACACAAAATCATATCTTTCATTAGAAAATTTAGTTCAGTTGCCTAAAAATTATTAAATTCAGCCGAGAGGCGGAAAGCAAAAATCTATGAAACTTTGCTTGTCTTAAGAGTTTTATATGGTGGTGTGTATATACCTGGATGCAGGCATGCAGCACATGAAGTACTCGATCGTCCCCCTACGGCCATGCCTACTGAGCCATCCAATGATCCACATGCTTTCTAGCCAGGCTTTTGAGGACTTAATGTGATGCACAAGGAGCAACGGTGACCACCGGCTTCTCGGCCGAGGTAATTGATGAGCGTGAGGAGGTCGTCGAAGACCTGCACCGCGGTGTACTTTTCCTGCCCGCTGGAGGGTGTGTTCGAGTCGCTGTCGCGATAGCGTGATACTACCTGACTGCAGCCACAGGGCGCTTCTTTTTTTTTTAAACGGTCACCGAGGGAAGAGGTTTCCTATCTGAATATATTGCTCAAAAAAGCTGCCAAAGCCAAGAGTTATCCCTTAAGCTTTGGCTGATCTATTTTATAAGGAAAACCGGATCAAAACCTAAACTAGCGCACACATCTAGCGCCATAGATGTGTATCTCCAGGAGCGCAGCCGCAGCCGATGGAAATTCTCCAGGAGATGGGCAATCAATCGTCGCAGTGACAGCCTCACAGGCGGAGATCTCGGTGTCGTTTAAGTTGTGCGTTGGGCCTAGATCGTGGAATCAACAATAACCGTCGTACATGATGTTTGTGCACTTTTGGCCAGGCCTAGTACAGAAGACACCGCACATCCGGAAAACCGTGAACAATCTATTTATGGAGAAGGAGGGCCATGTGTTTCTCATGCATAGCTACTACTAGTACAATTTACACACTAAAGTCCCTCACGTGTTTGTGTTTAAGTTCACCGAACCTATCTTGATGTAGGTAAAAGTCTTGAAGATCAAGGTCCACATATATACAAATAAAAGAGTTAACCAAACTCGACTGAAACGAACCCTTGTCGTGCAATATGTATACACGCGATTCCAACAGGATAATAGACACACTTCATCTAAGCACTATCCACTTATATAATAGCTTGAGTTTAGTATAGGGCTTGCTAGCTGCATTCCGCTTAGGGCTGCTCATATTTATATATGTCGTGATTGGAACAGATGTCGAGAACTACCTCACTCGTGGTAGAATTAAAATGTCGAGACAAATGGCATGTGATATTTTGGTAAAGAAATGATGGTATATGGGCCACACACAACTTTATCACTTGTTGACCTCCTATAAATAACCAGTTTCATCCCCACGCAGCAGAATCATATTTAGTTGCTAGGGGGAATGGCAAATTGTAGAAGGAAAGCAACGACGCTGAGCAGGGTGAATGGCAGAGACTCGCGCAAAGCGCGATCTAGTGTGGAATGGGATGTATCAGAAAATTTAAGTCAAGGATGAGTACGAACACAAAGTTCAGAATGGAATGATGTGGCTAGCAAGCAGTAGAGAAGTTGTGGCTCTTTTTGCTTTATAGGCTTAAAACACCAAGGCACTTTGTTGATAAGGCGGTCCGATTCTGCCAATAGATCATTCAGATTCAGATTTCATCACAGAAGTGACACGTGGTTAGGTCCCCCATGTAGTAGTTTTTTAATTGCAATCATGTAAAGTTTTTTAAGCCATTGTGCACATGTAATCCTTGGTGGCCTCCTTTGATTTAGGAAATCTATATGGATATTGGGCGACGAATTACCTCTCGTGTCAATTGCCTCGCATCAGTGTGCCATACCCTCCGTCGATCCTCTGTTTGTTGGCCCCATGCAAGCCTTAACTCGTCGACGACCTGTCTTAGCCACATGTTTCATCGCATACCTCATTCTCATTTCTGTCGAGTGTTAATCCATTCCCCCATCACCTACCTCTTGCTCCTTCCCTACCCTCATGGATGAGCTCCTCCTCTCACATCTCTCCTCAAGCATGAACCTTCCTCGTCCCCTACCTCCTCCAGAGTAGAGATGTTGACGCAGGGGGCGGTGGCCACCGCACCGCGCTGCACTGCTGCTACACCGGCAGCTCGGCGCTGCAAGGTAGCCATGCTCCATGTGTCAGTGCTACAATGGCCTAGTACGGGTGTTGCAAAGGGGTACCATGGGCGCTTGGAAGGTGGTGCATGGGTGTTGTGACCGACACGTGATGTTGCTGCGACGGGGCGTGCACGAGTTGCAGCAGATGAGGTTGGGAACCATGACAAGCGGGTGGTGGAGCTGCAACTAACATTAAACCTGTTGCTACCAGAGCGGCGAGCAGATGATGCTTCAATGACAAGCCAGCTATTCCTCATGCGAACGCGCAACATGGAGTAGGTGGGGTGGTGCAGTGCGCGGAGTGTGAATGGCGAACATGTTGCGACTAGAGCGGTGAGCGGAGCTCGAACGGACAGGGCCTGCTACGACTAGGACACATGTAGAGCCAACAAAGGCATGGGAGAAGGAGGACTGGTTGGAGTCATGCATGCGTGAAGTTGTATCCAACAACCACGAGGGTGGCAATCGGAGGCCTGGTGCGGCGAAAGATCAGAATGGGCCATGTAATTCATCAACGTGAATCACAGAATCCCACCCGGTTGATCCCGAGTGTGGTTCAGCCCAGTTTAATAACTTTACCGTTTGGGCGGTGAGTGTAAGTGGTGACGGTCCTGCATCCAGTAATGGTTGTGGCTGCAGGAATGGTCGCCAGCGCAGTGCTTTGAACCAGAAGTGGCAGCCATTGTCGTCTACGTGTTTGAGGCGAAGGGATGCGAGAGAAGGCAAGGTCATGGTTGGGTCTTAAGCAAGTTGGAGACAAAGCAACAACTAGGCCGCCCAAATCATTTTCCCAGTCAATAAAAAAGTCCCCTAAAAAATCAGGTAAAAACTTCCAAGGAATAAGTATAGCGAAGGCCAGACTCTGTGCCAGTCGACCGACCCAAGCGACACGTCAGTCGTACCACGATCATTGGATTAGTCCACCTTTAACCGTTGGATTAGACACCCTCCCCCACCCACATCATCTTTTTCTTCCCTACCGATTTGTCTGAGATCAGAGCGAGAGAGAGGATAAATATCGTTGACCTTCAGTGATGAAAATGGTTTACTTCATATATACAAACCTTTTTACATAACATGGAATGTTTTTAAATATATAAACCATACATGACTAAAACAAATTTATACACGAACAACTTTGCAAATACGCGATGAACATTTTTTAGAATAAAAATAAAATAAATGTGTGTACAATAAATTCTTTTTATTCTCTACTATATAATTTTTCTATTAAAATATAATTAACATTTTTCTCAATGCGTGAAATAAAGACATTTCCTCAGGAAAATCACGGTTCAAAATTGGTAATGGGCCAACGCATGGCGCACCCTGCGTGAGCGTCTTCCACGCACTAGGCATAGGATAGGAGCACTCGGCTGGATTTTTTTAATTAAAAAATGTAGACATGTTTGGTTGTCCGCATGGTTTTCTTACCCCTTTGCATTATTGTCCCAATTGGGCCTGTTCCACATTGATGCAGAGTCGACCAGGCGAGACTCTCCCGTTTTAGTCTCCCTCCACCTCACCCCTTGAGAGACAGATCTGGCAGCCCGAGCGGGCCG